CGCGCCGTGCCAGAAGGTGGTGCTGTCGGCATGGCTCTCCCCACGCCGCTGCCGCCGGCGCTGAGCCCCCGCTCACCCCGGCCTCGGAGCGAGGGGCAAAAGTGGGATTTGGGGGTCGCAAATGCCCACGTGCTTGGAGGAGACGCTGTTGCTGATTTCTGCTCCGAGGAGGAAGAACTTGGTGCACATCGACTTGGTGCTATTTTTGCTGCTTTTCAGCCTGCTTCCCTCCCAGTTTGGGCACTGGGAATTGCACCAGCTGGGTGCACTGGTGTGAACGGAGCTCGGCCACGGTAACCCGCTGGAAAGCTCCCCTCAGCGCCCCTCCAACGGGTCCCGGCCCCGGGCGCTTTGGGGTGCTTCTGGGGAAGCCTCCATCCCTTGGGGAGGAGGTGCCGGCCCCGGGGCTGCAGCGGGAGCTCTGCTGCGGCCGTGTCAGCCCAGCTGCAGCCCACCAGGGCCAGTGCATTTGCTGATTGCCTGCTGATAGCAGGCTTGGCCCCTTAATTAATAATAGCTGCAAAGCCCCAGCAAGCAAAGCTGGAAGGAGGTGTCCCTAGGGCTGAGCTATGTGCTGAGCTGGGGAGCAGCGTTGCTTTGTGGTGGTTGTGTGTGTCTGTCGCAGGAGTCTGGATGTGCTTCTACCTGTTGAATGTCCTATGGATATTTAATGCTGTTTAGCATCTGGCCAGCTAATGAAGCCTGTGGGGAAGGTGGGTGCATGCATGCACCAAACAGCTCCCTGCAAATGAGCAAGAAGTGCACAGGCACCTTGGGACTGGCTGCTTTGCATAGCTGTGATGCAGGTAACACAAACCTGGTGCAAGCAAGGGGAAAATGTCCTCGCAGGGTATCTTGCTCCACCCTCTGGCAGGGCAGAGGTGGCTGAGCTGCTGTGTGCCTGAACGCATCGCAGGGCTGGTTTCCCCCGGTGTGTACAGCGCTGCATGAAAAGTTCCTGCTGCCCCTCTGCGCTCCTCAGCCGATTGAATTAAACATGCGTGTGTATATGTGCATGCACACAAAAGAAAATCTGCCTTAAAATAGACTTTCCAGGATGGAAAATCACAGAGGCTAATCTTGGAAACTTTATGAAAAGAAGTGGAGGGGAGAGGGAGAGAGGGTTGCAGCAGGGGGAGAGGAAAGAGTAAGTAGTTTCAGACACTTAAAAAAAAAAACTGATTTGATTTATCTAGGGAGTGTGAACACTAAATAGAGAACAACGCCTGAAGTGTGAATTATTTCCTATATTAACACAGAGAAAAACTGATAGCCTTTTCATGTCAAGAGAATAGCGAGGAGGGGAGGGAGGGGGGGGCGAATGACATTGTTCAATCTCTGGGTTTGCTCACTCTTTATCAGGCTGAGATCAAAATTTATTCCCAGGATGAGGCCTGCGGCCCGGCTGAGGCCCTAGAGATTTTTAAGGGCCTAATTAAGAAAACAGGATGAAAATGGCGAAATAAGAGGGCAATTTACTTCTTGCAGAATAGGGAGATCAAATCAACTTATGAGCAATTAATGTGCACAAGGAGAGAATAAAGGGATGCCGGGATATGGTAGAGGGCCTCATTTTAATGACATGCTCTGGTGTTGGCATAGAGGATTACTCTGAAGGTCAGATGTAGATTGAAACGACCTTGCAGATTCTTAACCCTCCTTCCAATTAATAGAACCAACTCAGAAATGCAAAAGACCCTGGCTTGGAGCGCTGTCATCCCTTTATGTTCAGAAGGAGGGGGGGGAATGATAAAGGAGAGAGAGGACGAAAGGGGGTTTCCTTTGCTTAAACAACAGCTGCTGAAGACGGGAGCTCGGGCAGGCGGGAGAGAAGGGCTCTTAATTATAGTGCGGGAGCCACCCAAAGAGGGGAGGGGGGGGAAAAAGGGGTCGCGGCTCCAAGTAGGATATAAAAAGGGAAAGGCGCGCTGGCCGGGGCGGCAGCTGAGTGCGTGCGAGAGGAG